TTCGCGTTCGCTTTCGCTTTCGCGCAGAGTATGAACCGGGCTTCAGACCACAGTATGGCGAAATCTGCGCGTCCTCACTTTAGCGTTTTCATAAAAGGTGCGAATTTGCTAATTGGTCTTTTGGTGGTTTTCACAAACGGCCATTTTTCTTTATTGATTAATTCTGCGAAACTAATCACCCATTTTTTCTTAACGTTTGCTACATTTAGAAAGATTAGAATCTCTTCTTTCCTCTGATACCTAAATTTTGCATATTTTTCGCATTTTAAGTTTCAAATTGTTAAATAAAAAAGGGACCAAATTTAAGCGCGATTATCTCGAATAATGGTTCAGACAATGAAATACTAAATTCGCCTCTTCGATTAATTTTATGTAAAAAAAAAAATGAAGCCCCTTCCAGTTAAACTTTTTTTGTTTCAATTTGAAAACTGATTTCTTTGAGTCTTAAATATTTACAATGTTACAATTTACAATGTAGTTACGACCGGTGTAGCATGCCATGAATTTACGTTTTATAAAATACGGACTCCTTGGTGGTAGTGTAGTGTTCTTCTGAGGTCTTGGATTTCAACATTTATTTGTTGGCGAATTTCCTGCATGGTTTTTGGCACAATACAGCACACCCGGTCCTTGAGGTACCCCAAAAGATAACAAAAAGAGGGGTAAGATCTGGCGATCTTGGCGCCCTTTGTTCAGGTTCTTGCTTGCCGCCATTTTGTCCGTACTTTTTCACAATGTTTCTGCACTGAACTATCGTGTCTTTTACGCTACCTGTTTCATAAACCGCATTGACCATCAAGGCTTTTACAGCAGTAAACTGTGGCATTGCTATATATGACTGCTTTAAAATGTTGTCTTGCAATGTGCTGGCCATTAAATGACGTTAAATATCCCCTTACAATATTAGGAAACACGTGTTGGTGGAGTTTTTGGGCAGTCACAAAGAAAGGCCTGTATCCTTTGCATGCATGGCTGAACATCAGTGAAACTTGTACTGAATGTGGTCAATACCCAGATCGAATGTTGACTAAAGAAAAAACAGACTTGACATGTTCCTGTTTTTATAGGAGACAAGGACTTATCCAAAGGGACTGCATTTTTACTCACCATGTACATCACGCATTTGCCTATATCCTGTATGCTAGTGTCTTGTTTAATATCGTGCATTTACTATTTTAGGTACATACCGATTTTCGTATATATCACGCTTTTGCCAATATCATATATGCTAGTGTCTTGTTTAATATCGTGCATTTACTATTTTAGGTACCATACCGATTTTCGTATATATCACGCATTTGCCAATATCACATATGCTAGTGTCTTGTTAAATATCATGCAATTACTATTTTCTAAGTACTATATATAGCAACTTCCGTCCATATCGTGCATTTACCATTCCTGTATACTAGTGTACTTGTTTGATATCTTGCATTTACTATTTTTAAAGTCCCATACTAGCTATGCTTGTACATATTATGTAATTACTTGTATCCTGTATAGTGTCCTTTATTAGTATCGTGAATTTACTATTTTCTAAGTACCATATACCAATGTTCGTATATGTCATTCTTTACCTATATCCTGTATGCTAGTATGCTTGTTTAATATCGTGCATTTACTATTTGTAAGTACTATACCGATGTTCGTATATATCATGCATTTACCCATATCATGTTTGCTAGTGTCTTGTTTAATATCGTGTAGGCCTATGTACTATTTTTAAGTAAAATGCTGATTTTGGTATAAATCATGCATTTGTATATATTCTGTATCAGTGTTGCAGGACTCGAGTCCAGGACTCGGACTCGAGTTGGACCCAAGTCACATTTTTCGTGACTCGGACTCGACTCGAGTCACATTGGGAAATGACTCGGACTCGGACTCGACCATGATGACTCGGACTCGTGCTTGGTGACTCGTGACTTGAGTCACGTATTTTCATTAAAAGAAAAAAAATCATACCGTTATGTATTTGTGCTACGAACGTAGCATTCTTTTTCACTCCTTAGACAAAACACGGCGCCGCGGAAAATCGAATCTGAGGGCCGCGCATGCACGTCTAACGCCTGCATGAAGAGCACCAGGCCCCGGTTTCATGCCAAAAGGTGTCCAGTATCATAGAAAAGGTATTTTTTGGGGGGTGGGTGGGAATTAAAAAGAAACACATTTTTGATCTAAACAACATGTACACACACAAGGTACACTGTACAAACCGGGATATACTTCAGATTTTTTTTAAGAACATTTGAATTAGTTTGGTTAACAACTCGGTCTCAAACTCGAGGCTTGTGACTCGAGGCTCGGACTCGGACTCGAGGCTTGTGACTGGAGACTCGGAATCGGACTCGACGTTGGTGACTCGACTACAACACTGTTCTGTATGCTAGTGTCTTATTTAATATCGTGCATTGACTATTTTCTAAGTACCATATACTAACGTTGTACATGTATACCATGCATTTACCTATATCATGTACAGTTTGTTTAATATCGTGCATATACTATTTTAAGTACCATATCGATTACCGTATATATCATGCATTTGCATAATCCTGTATGCTAGTGTCTTGTTAAATGTCGTGCATTTACTATTTGTTTGTACCATATACCGATGCTCGTATCATGCATTTACCTATATCCTATATGCAAGTGTCCTTGTTTAATATCGTGCATTTACTATTTTCTAAGTACTACATGTATATAGCGACTTTCGTACATATCATGCATTTACCTATATGGCTAGTGTCCTTGTTTATTATCTTGCAATGACTATTTAATTACTAAGTACCATATACAAATTTGGTATATATCATGCATTTACTTATATCGTGTATGCTAGTGCCCTTGTTTAATATAGTGCAATACTATTTTCTAAATACCATATATCGATTTTCGTTTATATTACTCATTTACCTATCGCGTTTGCTAGCGTCCTTGTTTTATATCGTGCATTGAATATTTTAAGTACTATACATATTTTCGTATACATCCAGCATTTGCCTAAACCATGTATGCTAGTGTTTTTTTAGTATCGTGCTTTTACTATTTTCTAAGTGCTATATGCCGTCTTTGCATATATCATGCATTGACGTATATCCTGTATGCTAATGTCCTAGTCTAATATCGTGCATTTACTATTTTTTAAGTACTATATAATACCGATTTACGTATCATGCATTTACATATATATGCTAGTGTCTAGTTGAATATCGCGTATTTACAATTTTCTAAGTACAACATTATACCAATTTTGGTACATATCATGCATAAACATAATTATATCCTGTATGCTAGAGTCCTTTTTTTAATATAGTGCAATTATTATGTTCAAATACCATCGGTTTTCGTATACATTTACCTATCCTGTATAATAGTGTCCTTGTTTATATCGTGCATTTACTATTGCTGTTGAGATTTTTATATATATCATGCATTTACCAATGCTGTATGCTAGCCTCTAAATATACAATATCGGGGGGAAAAAATAACTATTCCGGTATCAAATTAATCCTTGAGCGCGAGTGGACAAAAAAGGATATCGCGTCTGTGTCCGAAATACCACGTGGCAGAAGGCCAAATTGTTTGTGGGACGCAATATGCACTATATTTTACCTGTTCCACGAGCGCGAGTGGGATAACGAATTTATCTTCAAACAAACTTAAAGATAAAACACGCAAATGGTAGGCTACACGAACTTTTCAGCGGTTATCACATTTTATACAACACCTGAATAAATCCCCGTCATCTGATTGGTGAATTGTAGATCACGTGACATATTATTATTCGGTATAATGCACGGTGCGACCATGCGTTATACCCATGCGTTATACCGTTTCACTTTACGCTTGTTCCATGACGCGGTATTTGCGTGCAAAATGCATGCTGGTACGGTGTGCGCGTTTAGCGTAGCGCGTATTGTTCCAAGAATCCAAAGAGCCAGCGCTACAGCGTTGGGTTTAAACATTTTCGTGAAGGGGTAGTTCAACATCTTTAAAATCAAAATAAATTGTAGTTTATAATTTACCAATCAAATGACGAGAATTTATTTAGGTGTTGTATAAAACAAATAACGAATGTTTTACGTTCGTGCGATGGAAAGAATAATTTCATTCGGTGACAGATTGAATGTTCTATTCCACTCGGCCTTGCCTCGTGGAATAGAACATTCAATCTGTCACCTCATGAAATTATTCTTACCATCGCACTCACAAACATTCGTTATTTGTATAATACGTGAGAGCAAAAGGAACGGCGCGCGCATTTAGGAATAGCGTGATACGCAGAGTGCTATATCAACCGTGCTATTAGGTACACTATCACACTTTTGTTGCCATGGATCCACATATCACAATCGAGGATTAAAGTTTGCTTGAAGATAATGTTATATCACAACGAATTTTTAACATAATGAAAATTATTCCTTGGACAATAGAGCATAACACAAAGGGTATAGTTAACATCTAGGCCCACAACTACTCTATCATAAATCTAACATAATAATTACACACTATATAGAATGGAGTGTTTTTCGCAAAATAATTGTTGATAATATAGTTTATGTTTAAAAAAAGTTATGTTTAAAAATGGTTTTCGATACACTTAATGAAAAGGCGTGTGCAATTAACCATCTGTGTAAACTCAACTTGAATGCAAGGCACATTTAGCCGCGCAACGCTCACAACAGCTGTACAAGAACAATAAAGCGGCTCAAGATTATAATTGGAGCGATCATTATGTGTAAAATGTAATGACAGATCAAGTGATCGATGCTTTATATACATGAAAAACGCTTTGTCTTTTCTCTCATCCATGTGTAAGCTGTAACTACTGTATTATGTCCTAAGACACCCTTGGAAAACAATTATGTACAAAGCAAGTACGAGTGAAAACCACAATCCCAAAATGTAAGTTTAGTTTTTAAACGAGGCACGTAATGAACAAGCAGTGCAGTTTACTTTTGGGTTATAAGTTTGATGTTCCATTTTTCTACTGCAAGTTACTGGTTTCCTGCAATGGAGACATCAAAGCTAGAAGTTTGGATGCTGGATGGTGAAGTAGGAACTGCTGATGTTGAAACCATCTCAGCATCGTTGGACTTTGCAGGGCGTGCGATTGTCAAACGCCGGCCAAGGCAACTCAAGTATGGAATTACGGCAGAACGAACCTCTTCTCGACGAACGCAAAACATGATGAAGACAACCACGCCCTTGGACCAAAAACAACAAAAAAAGGGTTTTTTTAATCTCAAATTTAGCTCTAGATACCATTTTAATTAAGTTAGTGAGGGTTTTCCCGGCTATTTTAAAACTTGCAACACACAAATTCCTTGTATCGATACTTTAATTTCGCCCCCGAACATCGCAAAGCTCAATTCTCAATTTGAATTTCAGAAAGCAACCACTTTGTGACGAAATGTAATGACAACAACATTAAAATGAATGACGAAAAAAGAATTTGCTTTTTCAATTCAACGCTGATTGTTACACCAGATGAATTTCACAAATTTAGGACGAATACATATGTTTATAAATAAATATTTAGGAACGCTAAATATTTGAATTATACTGAACCTTAAATGAAATCTAGTGGTGGCTTTCTGAAATTCAAACTGAAGATTCAGCTTGGCGATGTTCGGGGACGAAATAAAAGTATCGATATAAAGAATGTGTGTGGTGCAAGTGTTAAAATAACCGGGGAAACCTATTATTTTCTGCAACATTTAAGTTAATTAGAATAAATACAAGAATGATTTTCCTCGTTCACCTGCAAGGAGTTGGCCAGACAGAAGATGAGCTGGAAGGCAAAATTGGTCTCTGGTGATCCTTCGATGATGACAAGGAACGCAAAACACCAGGTCAAGCCCATGAGGGCGGAGATTCCCACGGCATTCTGGAGGCGTTTAGAGATCTGCTGGGAGCGAGATGCCTCTCTGACCTTCCGGAGACTGCGCATGACCAAGATGAAGGTGATGATGTTGTGGATGAGGATGACACCAATGGGAGGTAGGAGGCCGAGGTACAGTACAAGACCAGGCTCAAGAAAGCAACTAATTAAATATAAAAAAAAATCCAAATATAGCAGTTTCTGTGAAGCGTTGGCGGAATTTACTGTAACCAATACATTAAAATGGTCAAAGAGAACAGCCGCTGAATACAGACATGAATGTTTTACGTACTAATGCTCGGTGCCGTAGTGATGAGTTGCTGCGGCCAAGGTGATCGTCAGAACAATGAGCGGAGATCCTGGGAACAGTTGAATGGGAAAAGTGTTGATAACTGATATCTAAGCGTAACACGTGTATTCTACATTAAATGTGTTACCAGCACATAAACATGTCAAAACATTTGAACTAAACTCACCCCAAGCGATGAGGCAAGCCTTGAGCATATATCGAGGCGTGTCTTCTGGGAACACCTTCACCGTACTGACGTACATGTTCCTGGCTTCAACGGCCATCCACATCATAGTGGACAGAGTCAAGTAGTGGAGTAAAGCGGCAACAAACACACAACCACCCTCAGATCCCTTCTGTACACAATATCAAAAGTTTAGACATTTCAATCACAGTCAAAAACTAGTCGCTAGTTGTCTCGTCATGGGTCTGCAGTGCTGGGCCAATAGGTTCAATATTACGAATATTAACGATTGAAATAATAACATTTTCTTGACAATTCTCGAGGAAGTAAACATCAAAATGACAGAATTAAAAAAAAATACCTTGGCGTTGTCTACCCCTGCAACGAACACGAAATACAACATCAACAAGGAGAAGCAAAAATGGATGAAGATCTGACGAGATTTGCCGCTTCGTAGCTTCCTGAAATGATAATAAAGTTGGAAATTGTAAATGTAATAGTAGAATAATGACATGTATAGAGAGTTTTTCCTGGACAGTGAACAGTTAAAGAGGTTGTGGAATGCTCGAAGACATTTCTGTCATTTTCGGGTATATGTAGCCTAAGGTAAACAGGACTCCCGATGCAGTGTAGTATACGCAAGTCCTGTTTATTACGTCACGATTTACTGTCGCGACATTGTTTTTGGCTGGTTCTTTAATGTTAGTTCAAGGCATGCATCTGATTTTCAAAGAATAATTGTAATATGAGGCCAGGTGGCAGGGATGTGGTTTGAGCATTATTCTTCACTTAGAGATGAATACGAAGCTTTGGACGAGTATTGGATACACCTGTTGTATAAATCATGACTATTCAAGAATTACCAATGAAGATGATCCGTATGGTTATCGTAGTGTTTTGTTATATTTATTTCTTCATTTGTTAACATGTTGCCGTTGTATCATGAAGAGGGCGCTGTTCAGTGTCACTGAAATCTTACCGCTTTGGCATCCATGTAGGTTTTTTTTCCAGATTATTAAGCAACTTAATATTCAATGGTGAGAAAGGAAACGGTTGGGGTATGATAGCGTTATCAAAAGTATATTAGAGTCACCTGACAGCCAAGTATATAATCAGCGTGATAGCCAGAGCTACGATGGACAATGCACAGCCAACCTTGCTGATGATGTCAAGTGCTCGCTTAGAAGGAGTGTTAGCAGGAGTCTGACCCTTAACATCCTGCAAAAAAAGGCATATAGTTCACTTTTTTTGGAGAAAAGCAGTTCATGTGCAGGGGGCCGAGAAGACTTGAGATCAAATCGGTAATTGCTCGGGCTTAGTCCGCCTGTGCCGCCGCGTACCACCGGCGTTGACTACTGCATACTGTCCCAGGGTTACATGTTGCGCGCGGTTTATATTAACACGTAGTCCGTGGGCTAGGGGGCGGGGGGGGGGGGTCCCAATGCACCCCCAACCCCCCGCCACCGATATTTTGTTATCCTTGGCATGTCCCCAATAGGAAAAAAAGATGTTAACTGTGAACATTTAGGGATGCTTTCTCTCAGGAGCCAACTTATTGGAACCGCCTCTGATTGAGCTTAGATGCCTAAACCTAAGCAGACCTTGATCGATCTTAATCAACTTCAACACAATCTTTATGAATAGCTCGTTCAAACAAATCTTTGGTTGTCATAGAAACTAACTGTAGAGGGCGCTACAATCAAACGAAATGTATATGCAGATTTATTTTGGAGATTATCAGAAAATGTCTTATGTTCAGACATAGCAATTTACTGTTCATATTAAAAGCCACTTCCCACAGTTGGTTTTCGTGACAAACATATTTAAAAGAGCTATTCATAAAAATTAGTTTGATTAAGATCGGTCAAGGTATATGCTTAGTTTATGGCGTTTTGTTTCTTACCCTTCCAACCCTAGTGCTAAGAAAATGCATCTAAGCTAAATCAGAGGCTCAAAAAAATAATAACAGAGGTGGTGGGTTCGAGTGCACTGGGACCCCCCATAGCCCACGGACTAACGCGGGAAAGATCCCTGCATCCTCCGCCCCAACATGCGTGTACGTTGTACGTGGATTTCAATCACTGACTTGAAAAGTCTGCACCCGCGTTTGCACGCCAGACATGGAAAATGCTTGGACGGAAAACTCTGATTGGCTAGGAATCAGGGGATGTGAATATTTATATTACACCTGACATTAGCGCGTCTCGGTGCAAGTACGGTGCGTGTTCGCGTGACTTGAGGGGTGAATGCTTCACCCTGCAACACAGCCTGGAACGAATCGATTGATTGAGAGGACGAAAGCTAATCCCTGGGTTGTTTGGAGTTCCATGCATCATTATATTTTTACAATGCTGGGCTCATAAATGAATAACCGTCCGAATTCATATTAGTCCAGTCGTTAGACATGTCATGCCAGGATAGGAATTAATGTAAACACGATACACAGCGCTAGCGAGCGCCGTGCTAGTGCCTCGTCGGACAAAACACTACTATTTCACTACCTGTCCTCAAGTCTACGGGTTGGGGCTAATTGGTTAAGGAAAAACATTATTTCAATTTTATAAGAGATTTTGAATTTCGCATCGACACATATTTTGAAAAATACAACGATGAAGAGTTTTGAGATATATTTTGCTGGGATCGTAGTGATACTTTTGCTTCTAATACATACCACAAGAATGGCAAAGTTGGTGGCGTGGTAGCAATCACATCGGACTTGCTCATTTGGCGGTTGTGCACGTGCGCAACCAGCTGGTGACCAATCACCAACTCTGTCTTCAAGTTCAAAGTTCCAGGACACGCACTGGATCGTCTCCAACTTTTCAGCCGTTGCATTATCAGGCTTCTGTTAAAACAAATACACAACTAAATGTATCTTTTTTATGGTTTTTAATCATCAAAGTCTGTGTATTTGGGGCAGTGGTACATTATCGTAAACACATTTTGTGGAAAGTCTACACTCCGTTATACATAAACATTCACAAACCTACCTTGAAAATAATCACGACTGGGTCGGATAGGTTGACAAGTTCAACATTCTCCACAGTCAGTGAGACGACAGATCCAGCGACCTTACGAGTCGAGTTATTCTGCCCTTGGTACTCTCTGATTGAAGCAGACTGAAACAACGTGTCGTCAGCATAGACAAGGAATCCGACTTGCAGCTGGACAGAGCTGTTATCTACATTCAAATTGATAAGATGACATCGGTAATAGTGATTCACACAGGGAGAGTGATTAACTAATGCAATATAATCTCCAGGCTGATACAAACTGAACAATTTAATTATCTCGGAAATCAATAGCATTTCTCTGAGGCCGCCGTCGAGTCGACCATGTGACAACCTAGAACAGTTGGCGATTGACTTTCATCTGATGCTGATGCTGAACCTTTGTAGATCTAGCTGCGTATGAGCTACGACCATCGGGAAGATATCAGTTGCCAATTTTGTTTTGCAACCTGAGTATAACGGGAAGTTATTAAAACGATCGGCATCAGTGGACGCTCGAACACATCAAAAGTTGGTATAGCAAAATGTCAACGTCTCAATCGACCTGTGTGAGTTCGATGTCGTGCGCGTATCTGTATATCTTATTGTGAATCGCCGTCGCGGCGTGGGTGACATGAACATGGTTGTAATTATTCTGTGTCGAGATGCCGTTTGTTCCATCATAATCACATGATTTGACAGTATTGTGGCGAAAAACCCCTATGTCTTGGCTAACCGTCGCTCCTCTACCAGACAGGGCGAGCGGCAGTCCAGCTGATACTGTATGGGGTGGTTCGTTTGGAGACCGTATATCGCCGCGCGTAACGACCACACCGGGGAGAATTTGGCTATAGGGACGACAAATTAATGCCAACTCACAAAAGGGATAAGGAGACCAAGTTACTTCCACAGTGTTGGGTCACACAGCGACCCCTTTTTATTTCCCACACGGACTCCTTGGGGAGAGTTCTCCTAAGGGATAGCAACTTCTTCAGTTCAAGGAGGGGAATCCAAAATCACTAAGGGAGTTCCTTAAGGGAAGTCCTTAGGCTCACTAAGTTCCCGGCCAGGCAAGGGAATCCTTAGCAACTAAATTTATCGCAATTAAGGCAGTGATCCAAAAGACGAAATCTTGCCTAAGTGCTCTGAATATCTATCGACAATTATTAAACCCTATTACTTCCCGGAACTCCCGTCTAGAGAATTTACTACCCCCAAATGGTCCAATTAACCAACAGACCCAAATCCGCGTCCCAATGCGTGGTAATCTTAAAACTTACCACGCGACTCTCCTGACAGCACTACGGCTTGTGAACGACACGGAACGCAAGGGGAGGGGAGCAAGGCGGTTGCCCCCCCCCAAAAAAAAGAGAAACAAAAAAGAGGTGCGAAGCCATAATGCTGTTAATATTTTTTTGTTTGGGGGGGGGGGGACGGAAAATGCTCCCCTGCTCACGCTCGGAAAAAAATGATGAATTGAGAATATATGGAAAAAGTAAAGGACTTTGGGGGAAAAATTTGCTTTGCCCTCCCCCTGGAAAAAATCCTGGTGACGCCCATGATGGCACACTACGCAAAGCTAAGACGATGCTTACTCTCCGATCCGGCTCGCTACTGGCCAAAAATGCGCCTAGCGCACAAGTGCACCCTCTCTCAGGGTGTAGACCAGTAGATCGGTCCGAAATTGCCTACGCCGGCCAAATCACGATTTGCATGCCCTCAAAATCTTCAGTATTTGAGCATGCTGTGGGCCACGAACTTGAGGGTTTGTAAAAAATATGGGTGGAAGACGTGCACAGGACTGGGAGCTTGCAGTTCTGTGTAATTTGGATGTAATTTGGACCCTAAAAGCGCTCTATTTTGCAATGGAGTGTAGGCATCGTTTTTCAAAATGGCGATGGGCTTCAGGACTTTTTTCAGGGGTGATCATCTTCAGATGGAAATTTCTCCTAAAAGTCATCAGTTGACCCCCAAAAATTGAAAAGAAAATGAAAGATGATGAAATAAGCTTTAATTTGATGTGTGTCTCGAACACCTTGGAGAGTTGTGAGTATTTTCCCCGAATTTTTGAAGTAGGAGCATTTACCATTGGGGTCTATGGAAGTTTATTTACTGGTCTGTTACCCTCAGCTCCAACACGTACGCCAAAGTATGGAGGGCAAAATGGGCCAAAAACTGAGCACTAAAGCTGCATTTTGCTACAGCATTAAGGCTTGAGTATGACGTTTGTGCTTGAAGCCAACGTTCGTTGCGGCGCAATTTAATAAGCAAAACACAGGTCGACCCGAGGGCGGCTTTAAGGTGAAGACCGTCTTAGTCACGGCTTTTATAATAAGGTTGTCTCCGAACCCATCCTCCTCTTCAACCTGCCCCCCCCCCCCCCTCCGAATTTGTCATTCCCACTCTACCTCAAGAGAGTTTTCTAATGCTTCAGAAAAGCAACTATATATTTTGTTTAAAGCTGATGAAGCTACTTACTGTCAGCTGACCGAATCGAGTCAACGATGTTCCGTGGTAATTGAACCGATGCCACCACATCAATACCCTTAGGGATCTCATAAGCATCCATAAAGGTCTTGATCTCAGTTCCAACGAGTGAACCCTCTTGTGGTGACCCTTGTCCAGGCTGTCGTACAGATACAAAGCTGAGTCCATTTCTTGACTGCACTGGATCCAGACTGACCGCCTCGACGTGAATGGTGTCCTGACGTATACTGACCTGACCTTCTTGTCTCAGAGTCAGGGAGACCTGACGCTCTACGGACTGGATGATGGCTGAAGAGTTACCAGCATTGATATTGGGAGTCTGGGAGTCAGGAGTGTTCATTATGACATTGCTCACGCTCTCCAACACCAACTCAGTAACCTTCAGAAGGACATTTTAAACGTAAAGACGAATGCGTTTACATTGAGACTACCACTCTAAAATCGGACTCTATACAACCACAGCAGACGCTGTTCCACCAACCAGTGACATCATGCGCATATTAGTTGTCTCTCAGGAGACAAGGAGGCCAACAACAACCTAATGAGATTACTTTTACATATGAGTGTTCCCAAGACACTTAAAGATGTTGCCCCTTGACCTTGAAAAGTGATGTAAAGTTATTTATATAAAATGACGAATAATACATACCTGTACGTCTCCTGATCCTGCCCCAACAATGTTCACCAAAATGTTGGAAACCGCCTCCACATCTGCATCCTCAGGTGACGCTGACGTCTGATTGACCAGAAACTCAGCCACTTCAACCACATTTCCTGTACTAACTTCAACCTAGAAGAATAAAAAAAAAACCTATTCAGTCAACAAGAGTTAATAATTGCCTCATGTGATCTTTAACTGTCATATAAACAATGAATGCAAAAAAATTGTTACAATGAATCAAATACATTGTAACAATTTTGTTGTTGTTTGCATTCAATCTCTTTCTATGTTGCCTTTAAAGTACTTAAAGCATTACCTTCTCGACGTCCGCAAGGGTAACCTCGTTCCTATATTCACCACAACTGCTGGGTTCATACTCCTCCCATTGGAAGTACACAGGAGGATCTACAAGTGAACAGTTCCGTACGCCACGAGGTTGACCGGCTAAATGGTATAATAATGGTAGACATCAATTAAACAATACATATTTAATTGATGAGACTTAAAGGGTTTGCATGGTGGTCATTATCAATTAATAGGAGGTTAGGCCCTAGCGGTAACACCATGGGAATAACATTGCTTGGTGAGCTGTGTGGTTCTGATAAGTATCAGTTGGTTTTACTCGACGTTTTGAGCAGTATGTTGTTTGTCACAAAGAGATCGATATAATATAATATAATTAAAGAAATGTTAATAAATGAAGCTTAAATGTCAATGGCTAAATTAATCTCTAACAATTTGTATGTTACTCCAATAAATTGTCCTTGTAAATCTGTACCATTCATTGTCATGAGGGGACATCTCTCCACAGACTTAGCGGTTGACCCCGCTGACGTCACCGGCCACGTGAGATCTTCGTATGTTTCCAATTCACACTGACCTGAAGAAAACCAGATGTGCACTACGTCTCAGTAACTTGTAATGAATAATATCACGTGTTAACTTCTCAGGTACACGTATATGATTGCATTTCATACTAAACTATAGTGCTGAATCAATGCTTTCAGACAATATTTTTGCTGTTGATAAAGTTTGGTTCACGATTAGCAAATTACTGACCTTCCATGGTCACAAAGAAGGAACATTCAAGAGACACGCCATACATTGGAAACTGCTGCTGGTAGCTAACTCTACGAGTTCCTATCAAAAACTGATCACCGGGACTGGCAGTAGAGGTAAAGTTGGTTGGTCCACCCCATCCGGTCAGATCTGGTTCTATCCAGTTTACGCTGGCTTCGTTAAGACCGGGACTGGCAAAGGCAGTTATATTATTTGGGCAGGTTATTCCCACGACTTCAAAGAAAATGGAAAGCATAAATAAGATCTTAGTCTTCATTGTAGTTTTGTAACGACGATGTTTTTACAAAAACTTGTAATATACCCTTATAGTTCAGCAAAAAAAGTAAATGTAATGCATCAGGTTTTCACATACCTGTAACTGTAATTCTAAAATCGCAGATGTTCTCGTTCCCAGACTGATCTCTAGCTGTGTACCTCGCTGTAGATATCCCAACCGGAAATGTACCGTGACCAGCTTGGTAACATTCACCGGGCGGGGTTACCTGGCAGGTGAATGTCACATCGACGCTAGAATTGGAGTTGTCAGAGGTCATCGGAGGCGTCCAGATATGAGACGCCTGATTGGACGATGAGATGACTGGAATGATGACATCATCCGGACAGCCAGAGATTTCAGGTGGTTGAGTATCTGTGGCGGTTGAAAACGTACAAACGATACAGCATGTTAAGCTTTCAGTTACAAGCACTATAGGATAAAATACACCGATACCGTTTGATCAATATTATCTTGGACAGTCAGGGTGATATATTTAATTTATTGAAGTCATTTGGAAGCTTATCTTCCAAAGAAACATACACATCCCGGCTTCCACATGTGATTCTGAAGAACAATCACGGATTAACAAAGTAATTGAATGTTTGAATGTATTCGCCACGAGAAAGTTTAAAAGCCAATCCAACTGTAGGACTATAAGAGATATTACAGGAGAGTAGGTATTATTAACTTAGGGTAACTGGAGGTAGGAATGAACATTTCTCTCTAAACATGATAGTTCAAAGGTTGGAGGGAAGCAAGCACCATGCAAGGAATTCCTAAGGGATGCAGCACTTCGGGAAAAGCTTAATACAATATCATTTCGTTCTCCATCTGTGTATTGCATGAATGAGAACAGACAGGAAGCCGAATTTCTCTCTCAAACACTGCGTATTGTAATATTGTATGAAGTAAGTTATCGGGCTCAATCCGATCACCAACTTAGACTACATATTCGCGTTGGTGATCGGGCAAGGCAATCATTGCACTGGACATTGCCCAGTTAAGGTGTGAATACTTTTCAGAACGGAAAAAAAGGATCACGAAACCTTCTAAAGTCATTTGCGGTAGTTTAAAGAATATATGAGCAATTTGGTAAACATTTAAATTTAAAAAATACTGGATGTGCCTCGAGAGGGCGCCCTTTCGATCGATGACGTCATGATGCTTTCATTGTGCATTCTTCCTCAAACACTTCCATAATTTGTATGTCTGTAGTATAATGCCGCCATTTTCACGTTGTATTCAATTTTGAAGTCAATGTCAAACGATTTGTGCCCAGGAATCCAAAATATTGTCCGAGGCAATGTTTAACTGATACCAACAATGAACTTGGTACTGCATTCATTTAAAAAGTAATAGTGGAACTTATCATATGGATTCCAATATTAAACTTATATCGCTTGTAATTATTGATACCTGATAACGTCAAGATGACGTCACAACATTGATAACATCTTCTGACATAGGTCAAAGTTCAGACCGTAGTTTGGAAGAAATCTTGGTTCCTTTTGATTCGAGGCTTGTTTCTATATTTTGAATTCACCTAGATTTGACCTGTGCTAGCATCATCAGTTGCATTACTAATGTTACTGGCAGTTAAGTTGTCCACATCACAAGTAGCATTAAAACGGTTAACCATATTGAAGACACACTCTAAACAATCCACGGCCGAATTAGACCCAATAATTTTCATGGTCAAATGGCACTTCTCTTGATGTTTTTTTCAAGTCATTAAGGTCTACCTGTTTGAGGCGCTATATTGAAATTGTAGCAACCGCTGCAGTTTTTCTGGCTGTTCCCCGCAACCGAACCGTCCTAATAATTATAAGACTACGTTGATGCTAATAAGGCATAATAAAAAAAACTGGTGAAGATTGCAACCAGTCACGTTGGAATGTTATGTCAATTATCGGCAATGAAGATCCGTTCAAATCCTAAATCAATCACAATTAGAGGTTTGCGTTTGTCTTTGTAACAAACGCAGATAGGGTGATGGGACGCTAAACTTTTCATTTGGTAGTTGTAAATGGTTTAAGCCCCCAAAAATGGAACATGTGAAATTCATTTTTTTTTCGGCTGAAGAATTCTTATGAATTTGAACAAATGCATCCTTTAGGGATTGTTAGACTCCAAACACATTTTATTTACACGTTACTTCCGATTAATAACGTCATCAGTTACAAATGTGCATAATGACTCTGACGTTGAATAAATAACCTCCGAAAATAGCAAAAATACATGAACGTTTACGTGCTGTACGTATTAATGACTCTTGATTTTCGGTTAAATGACGTCCCAGCATTAGGGAACCCATCTTCAATAATGAACTTAATATCATGAATTTGGCAAAAGTAATTCCCAATAGGTACCGAATTGATGAATTTTATTTTAAAAGCCAAAAATTGATCATCTCTTATGTCTCCCTACAATAACTTGCAGACTGATGACGTCATTATATGAAACTTCGCTGAGTAATTATTAATCTGACCAAAGAATGTTTACGGGCAATTTGATAAAATATTGACAAATGTTTTATTATAAAAAAAATCAACTTGTATTGATGTGCCGTAAGAGGGCGGCAGAGCGCCCTTTAGGGCGATGGCGTAATCGTGCCTTTTTGAGTTAATCATCCCTCACTAAATATTTTCTGAATTAGAATAACTGTAGAAAAATGCTTCCGTTCTCAAGTTATTTTCATTTATCATTGCACTTCCGGTAACCACGGAAGTAAAAATCCTGGAAAGTGCCTGGGAATCACAAATGTTGCCCAAACCAAATTTTCATTAAACTGACCGGTACCTAAGACTTCAGATGTATTTTTCGAATAAAGCCACCGGATTAAGTGTTCCAACAGTACTAACAATCATTAGAATCAAAATGCTGTCAATTACTGCGTGCAGTGAGGCTGTTAAGGTCATATACGAGACGTAATTGTGCACTTTTCGATAAATGCTGTTTGCATAGATCTTCATGCCATAATACATTCAGATATGGGGCCATTTGATATCGGACCTTTTGTGACCTTTGAGAAATCAATGACCTTAACACCTATTATAGCTATTTATCAAAGTTACTTTTTTTCAAGACTATGTCATGGGTATTCATGCAATAAAAATGATTTGCAATGTGGAAACATTTCATATACAAGTACCTTCGAGAGGGCAATGACCTTTGTTTACCCTATTCATAAGATTTACTCGTCAAAACAAATCACTCTTCCAATTCTAAATGGTAGGTCTTCATGCCATGAACAGAATTGTCAAACGTGGGGACAATTCATGTTTGACCTCTGCTGACCTTCATTGAGTCAATGACCTTTTTAATACTCTATTCATTGCTAATAATTAGTTTTACTTTTCAAAAATCCACTTTGGAATTACCCAATTGTAAAGGTTGGGATATCGTGCCATAAAAAAAGAATTTTCAGATGCGATGACATTTCAAAACTGACCTCTGGTGATCCTCGACAGGTTAGTTAATTTTGTATACCCTCTTTGTTTCTGCTTATCTGATTTAATTAAACGCCACTATATCAAGAGCTTAGTCTGAACAATGCAAAAGAAATGTATTTTTAACTATATATTATTCTACAGTCTTGTAATGAATTCAGATCGAAAGGTATTATTTATTCATGACCCCAACCTCCATTTCCTATTTTTCCTGGTAAACGCAACATTAAGGCTACAATACAATCAAGGCAAAACAGCCCCTTTATAAGGTAGAATCTGCGTCAAATTCCGAGTAATTTGATTTCTTTTTCCTGGGAAGGAAGGGGGGTGTTCAACAAAGTATTGAAATAAAGGTTGTCAGGATCCCGTAACTGTGATTAATATAAAACAATAGGTTTCTGTCCTAACCTTCTGAAGGAGATGCCAAGTCGCAAGTTACTCCAGCGTCATTATTATGTCTGCAGCCGGAGGTAACATACCATCCACTGTGCTGGCATTGGTCAATACTTGATTCATTGCCATGACATACAACATTGCTCAGGAGAATCGGGCCTGATCCTCGGCCAAAGTGAGCACTGTGCCAGGCCTGGGATGCAGAAGGGTAGCCGAGCTGTCGGCAGATGACATGGGCATCTATGATGGTCCAGTCTTGATGACAGACTGTACCCCAGTGGCATTTGTAGTACACTTCCACTCTACCTTCATTAGGTGCATCCCCTTTCACAAGCCGTACTGAAACTTGAAAAAGGAGAGGGTACAATTAAATGTTCAAGATATAAGCATGATATTCGACTCTCCCTTTTCTATAAAATTACCTCAGGAAGGCCCATGTATAATTCTGATCAGTATTATATTGATGCGTGCATTGATGACTATGTCTGAAGTTTACGCTTAGACGTTAGCTCTTGTGCAAATTTTGAATATATGTATTGCGCAAATGTGTGTGCAAACAAGTGCGCACACGCGTGTACCCGTAAAATGAACTCTCTATAGTGATAAAAAGCGCCCTCTTTGTTGGTACAGTAAGCTTATACGATAAGGATGAATTCCTCAACAATTTGCCAAACGTCATCAACGTATAATCAGCCCTTTGCAAGTCCGTTTATTAGTCACAAAAAATCAATTGTGTCTGTACTATTATCAGGCTGAAAACACTGAGCTATATATCGAACTTATTAGGGGGTTAAACACTGCTTTATTTTTCACGTGACACACAGTCAGCAGCCATGTTGGAACAAACGGTTACTCAAAGAGAGCACTAACAGTTCTTGTTTCCCACGCGTTACTACATGTACAACCTTATATTAATTGTTTTATGAGTGCACTTATTAATACTTTTTTTCATTGTGGTAGAGTATTTAGTTAAACAAAAATATATCAACTCAAAATGCATACCTGGTGAAGAGGTATTGACAATGAGCTGCTCCCCACAAGTCACTCCGGCATCTTCTGTGTGACTGCAGCTGTGATTGAACCACCCACTGTGTTCACATAGGTCTATGTTTGATTCGGTGCCATTGCAAGCAACATTACGCAGGAGAATCGGTCCTGATCCTTCACCAAAGTGACTACCTTGCCAGGCCTGTGATGCAGGAGGGTAGCCGAGTTGCCGACAGATGACGTTGGCATCTTCAATGCTCCAGCCATCGTCACAGACAGTGCCCCACTGACCATCGTGGTATATTTCTATACGACCCTCATACGGAAAGCTGCCATTGGTGAGTCGAACTGGAACTGAAAATAAAACACTGAAAGGTTAATTTGCAATTAAGGTTTTTAGTAGAACCTTTGAAAACCAATTAAATTTTAAAGCAGCGCATGTTGGTAAATAAGCATACACTGCCAAAACAAAACCCCGTAAAAACACTTTCGATTCCTTGTAATTTTTACGACTGTTTATTCCGTTATTGCTAGACCCGTCCCAAAAAAAGAACGAGCCAGGGGTGGATCCAGGGTTTTTTGGCGGGGGGGGGGGGGCATCAGTAATCGCTGAATAGTGTACATTTACCCCCGTAACTCAACTGGCTTTTGAATTTTGTGCACAGGCGGACATTATTAGCAGTATAATGCGTTTGTTGGCGTAACAGTTTACAACCCCTCACTATCAACCCCACAGTAGATCAACTCACCAGGTTTGGCAAACATCTCGTTACATTTTACTCCAATATCGCCGTAGTAATACCAACAATCGAGGTTGTACCATCCAGTATGATCGCATTGGTCAATTCTTGATTCACTGCCACGACATTCAACATTGTCCAAGAGAATCGGTCCTGATCCTTGACCAAAGTGAGCCCTCCGCCAGGTCTGAGTTGCAGAGGTGTAGCCGAGCTGTCGACAGACGACATTAGCCTCTTCAATGCCCCAGTGACTAGAGCCACAGATAGTACCCCATTCGCATCGGTAGAATACTTCCACTCTCCCTTCATGCGGCGTGTTCCCATCAGCAAGACGGACAACCACTGCCACGGAAAACAGTATTGCAATGAAACAAGACATTTCGAATCAATGATACAATTAATGGAATTGAATGATAAAAATAACAAAGTGCTAACATGCATGTGGGGGACATCCTATCAAGAAGTTTGCATATTCTACAGATGCTCATGCATATCGGACCAAAAGGTTAAATTCGGTCCCCGAGTTGTTCATGGAAGCTTATTCGTTTCTTTGTTGTATTGATCTGTTGTTTACGCAGTTATTCCTGCTCTCCGAAATCTTCATTCAGGTTTGAGGGTACCAAACTGCTGGGTCCACATGTTTGTGGTAATCGGAAATATTTGTGTGCAGTTTGGTTTGAAGTTTTGGAAATTATGCCATCGCCAGTATAATTGCATGTATATTAATTTATGTATAGGTATGTTAGTACAATTATCTGAAAGTGCCATAGCCTGCAAGGGTGGTGGTTACCACATGCTTTTAAAATGTCATTCATTTAATACCTTCTCAAATGCGCAAAAACCTCCTCTGGAGTATACTCGCAATATATTTGGTCAAGGACAGGCGATACAGAACTGGTCCACTTCTGTTAATTGTGTCATTATCTGGCTGGCTCAGTTGAGTTTGGATCTGCGCTCCCGCAGTACTGGCTTGATTCTGCCATCATTGTGTTGGCCCTGAATCGGTCCAAACCCGCTGTGCTTCTAGTTGTTATTGAATCATGTACTGGCCCGGTTTTGCGCCATGTCCAAGCCAATACTGGGCAAGTATAGTTGCAGCTAACATTGCATTTGCCTTCATCCAAGGCCCAGTACACACGAGACTGACATTACACTGACTCAGTGCCGGCTCAAGACTGGCCCGATTCTGGCATCATGTTTTTGTCCAGGATCGGTCCACTACTGGCTTTCTACTGTTTGTTATGACATAATGTACTACTACTCGCCCGGTGTTATGCCATGTGCAAGCCAGTAGAACTCATGCTAGGTCGGCAGTCTACCTATATAGGAGAAGGAGAACTCTGATCGCAAACCAGGGCAGGAAGAGCTCGTCAGTCTTGGTTGACAGTCTACCAGGTGCCGGGTATGGTCTGTCTATCTGCACATCTGGAGGAAGAGAGACTTGATCTCCAACGGCATGGGCGGAAAAACGGTGGACTTTTCACCCCAACGGCCAGCATGAGAGGCGGAGAGACTTGGCGAACCCCCGTCTTAACCAGCTAATGAAAGACAACGATGATGATGACAAAGCTATTTCGACACAAATCTTATACGGCTGCCAGCTCCGGGAGTGAGCAGGAGCACAGCTGCGGGACCCGGTGCCCGTCCCAACGGGAATAATGCTTCCCCAAACCCATCTGGGAGGGGAGAGGCTGACGCGTGTGGTGGTACCACAGCAAACCTTTTGAGATGTAAGAAAGATGTAATTGTGGCAACAATGAAAACCCGGACAATCAGGGAAGTAAAATATCAACAAGAATTGGCACACAACATGAACATTCAGAATATTTCGATCACGGGCATCAAGGAACATCGAATTATTCACAAAGACCCAACTGAGACAGTGGTACACCACAAGATCGGCAACCGGTACCTGGTGACGTCATCAGCATGGCGCAATGGGGGAAGCAGCTTGTGGCGGAGTAAGAATAGCGATGAGTTCAAGAGCAAAGAAGGCGCTAACTGGAGTGAAATCGTTCTCCGAAGGAGTCATTATGGCAACATTCCAGAGCAATCCAGCCACTACTATCATATCTGCTTATCTGCTTACTCGCCCACCAGTAAATCGACGGAAGAGGTGACGAATAGCTTCTATGAGACACTCAGCGATGCGATCCAGTCAGTCCCTGCACACATCTTTCAAGCTGTTCTCGGGGACTTCAACGGACGGTTTGGAACAGACGATGTGCCCCGCTCATTCCATCAGCAAACCAATGCAAATCGCGAGCGACTTTTTGACTTAATTGAAGAATATGCACTGATAGCTGCCAACACTCGCTTTCGAAAGCCCAAGAAGAAACTCTGGACATGGCTCTCACCCCCAGACAACAACCAGGAGAAACACAAGCAGCAGATTGACTTCATTCTCGTAAGGAGGAAGTGGAGGGACAGTATCAGAGATACCCAGGCTTTCAACTCCTTCGCTAGCGTGGGTCAAATCACCGTGTAGTCTCGGCCAAGGTGCGACTCAGTCTGCGAGTACCCAAGAAGCAGGTGAAGAAAAAGGTCAAGTACGCATGGAAGGCTTTGGAGTGTTACAAGAGGTATACACAGTGGAATGGATAAACCCCTAACATGCACATCAGGCCAAAAGGTTAAACTCAGGTTTTGTTGTCTGTATATAGTTTTCCGGCTCTCTCAAGTCATCTCCGTTCAGGTTGGATCTTTGACATCGTGGTCTTGGCTCGATCAATATCCCTAGGGTGTGGACCATGCAGACGACAATACCATGGTTTGGAGCTGAAGAGCGGCATCAATGACAGGTCCCTCTTGAGGAGTAGGAGCTCTGACGTAAGCACGACACGCCCAGGTCATGGCATTTAGTACCTCTGATTAAACATTAATAAAAGTAGCTCAGAGCCTGTAAATGAGCATTACGTCAACCTGTAGTGCCCGCGTAAATAATTAACTTACTTCTAGAGTGACAAGCCAGCAAGAACATTCATTCGCAAAGTGTGATCGTAGCATTCCGAAGATTGTAACATCCAACTCTCACCCGATTATGCATTGGCGAATCCAGCGGGGTGAGAGGGTATTGAACCCCCCCCCCCCCCATTTTTGCTAAAGACTGCCATTTTGTATACAAGTGCCCTTTACACCACCGGGTTCCCCCCCCCCCCCATATTTCCAAAGAGTGCCTTTTTTGTAATCATGTGTCATTCTTTTTGTTTTTTAACAAGTGCACTTTTTGAACCAGCGGCCTTATTACGAGAACCCTTTTTGGAATTTTTCGCGAACTTCAGCAATGTTGCCACCATGAAGAGCGCCGTCTATTGTCCAATAATGTCCATGATCGTCTGGTTTGAACAGCGCCCCATGGGAAGATGGTACAAGCCCCCAGGAGGAAAAACCAAGTCTACATTTCAGCACGGACGGATGTGCGATTACCCTTTCACGAACTGGTTACCCCTCCCCTCCCCCCCCCCCAAAAAAAAACCCAGAAAACAAACAATCAAACAAAAACAAACAAACTTGCTACGACACGTGCACTGTAATGGATTGGTTCTGCGTACGTTATGATTTCTGGCATCATTATGTATTGGCAAATAATCGGTCCAGTAATGGTTGTCTTCTGATTCGGGTCACGTCATCACAAACTGGTCCGGCACCGCGCCAATGTGCAAGACTGAAGGCCAATTCTGGCAGCAAGAATTGGACCAGTTCGTGAGTTGTACCGGTAAAACGGTATGGGGTCAGTTTTGATCCAGTTCGTGTGCTGGAGATTAGCCCAAAAGGATATTCTTGCAACATTTAACATCTGCCACATAAAAAGAAACAGCTCAACCAAAAAAATAAAAATAAAAATACCACTGGCACAACCAAATAACACCAAATATGGAGCTTACTTCCTTCCCACCTCTCCCCCCCCCCCCCAAAGAAAAATGCTCAGTCATATCGCTTTATCACTATATTATACATGTTTGCCTCTCAGTTGTATTACTCTTCGAGAAAAATCTCACTCTGTTCCATTTTTGGCAGTATTACTTTACTCGATAAATTGGAGCATAAACAATGAACTAGGCCTACATCAGATACATTTTTTTGTAATAGCTAAGTAGGGCCTACAGTCTAAGTTTGCTTCACACAATCTTTGAATGTGTCTGAAAATACAATACACCTCGCATTGTTTTCACTCACACGGCACGAAGTGAGTAATTTTCAAGTATTCGATTTTTTATCTGAAAACGTCTTTTCTTTCCCAGTTGATGTAGCTGTCCGTTACTACAGCTATTCCCTGGGTATATGTACCAGGTTGGTAGGTCTGTGTACATGCACATTTGGATTAGGCGATTTCATTGAATTTGTGTTCTAGTATGTTCTGGATGATCTGGACTACCCAATATGGCCCTTACCTAAAACGTGACACCTTGACCTTGTTGAATTAAAATTTATTTAAAGTTGCTATACCGTTTGAAGTTATACCTGTGTGAATTGCATTAACTTATTGAACACATCAACTTTACCCGAAGAGGGGGTTGTTACATCACACGTCACTCCGACATCATAGTAATGACCGCAGCTTGACATCAACCATCCCCTATAGTCACACTGGTCAATGCGAGATTCATGTCCATCACATGCAACATTTACGAGGAGAACCGGCCCAGACCCTTGCCCAAAGTGGGCGTTCTGCCAGGCCTGAGATGCAGAAGGGTAGCCAAGTTGTCTACAGACGACATTGGCTTCTTCAATTCTCCAGTTGGAACCACAGACGCTCCCCCATTGGCCTCTGTACTGCACCTCAACTGCACCTTCACTGGGTGCGTTTCCATTGATCAGACGCACAGTGACTGTAATAGAAAATGACATAATAAGGACCAAAAAAATTACCTTTGAGAGGTTACCAATAACACCTAATATTATTTTTTTTTACCAAAAATATGACAAATTTTCAACGGTAACATTCTCAGCGGCATTATATTTGTTGCATCTAGCCCATATAAAGCTGGTATGTCATTTTCTGAGTCCAATGGCGGCCATTTAAGAAAAAACAACTAGCGGCCAGCTTGAAAAATAGCCCGGTCGGGCGGCAACCTCGTCCCAAGGGTGTCGAGCAGTACGCGCCCACCACTACCTGCCCTGTCACCCTGGTATTGGATCATTTGCATGTGCAAGATTTTTGCACACGTATGCAAATGAGGAATAGTCTGGTGCCTGCCTGTACGTTACATTAGCGTTTGTTTTTGTATGCGGTGTCTGGGGTAAAAACACCATCAATTCGTCGCGCCGTGAGTTACGAAAACACGATTGTTTTCGAAGTTAAAATGTTACAATCTTATCCCGCCAATATGCAGTGTCACATTTCATATTAATATGACCAAATTGGAAAGGAAAAGAGCGTTTTTGAGAAGGCGTGGACGTTATAATTACAATGATCGTGAAAACACGTAATGCACGTTGGAAATAACAACACCAACTACACGATTTAAATCCATTACAAGCAAATTGCTGTACCGAATCAGGATACAAAAAGAAAGTTTCCTATCTTTGGAAACGAGGTTAGAAATAAAGTAAGCACTGGTACGAGGTTGGGTGGGGCGGCCATTTTGGAGGAAAAAATACCAAGGACCTCCCGCTTCTTCTTCTTTTAAAAAGGTAGGATGCTAAACATGTTTTTTTTTTTTTTTAGGCCTTATTAGGTGGAATTTGCGTCGAGGAGATGAACTTTTATAAAGAGTTTTCCTCGTTTGTAATGTAGGACAATGGTTCTAAGTATATTGATGGTTTTGTGATTCACGAGAGGGGGCTATTTATTACAACATGATCCTGTGGGGTGATGATCTAAATATAGCGCAATGTATCTGGGGCTAGAAAGCTCGTGATCTCGGGTCAACAGAGAATGTCCAACATGTGCTGTCTCACCATAGAGCGTTTTCGAAATGACTGGCTTTGGCTTTGTCTTCGCTTAATGACATTTTAGGCCCCAACTTTGGGGACTCCAGCTGCATTTTGGTGCCTGTTATGCTTCAGGAACATTCAATCGGTTGTTATGAAGATAAAAGTTGGAATATTTTTGTTTCAATTGCCTCTCAGTAATTCAGAAGGAGGAGGCAAAGCCGGAGCCGCAGCCGAAGCAAACGTTTCGAAAACCCCTATAGACATCAGAGGAATCCGGTTCGCTAGTGTGACGTCATCTAAACTTAACTAGAAGATTCTGACTATTCCTAATGAATCTTAGGTCAGGTAGCCTTCGGTAATACATTGTATTACCATTTACCTCCCGACTAAAACAGGCGGCATTCCTCCTTTTTCCAAATATGTCCGAAGTTTGCTGAACTCATTTCGTCGACAATCGGATAGCGCCCGAGTATGTCCCAGTCAATATACGGTTTTATTAACTGTTAATTTCTCATTTAAAACTTTACAAACTAAGTTGATAATTAATATTTATTGCTTTCAATTAGAAAACTTGAAATTCAACGACGACTTTGGACATCAAATATACTCGGATCGTTCATACGAGGGGCGAGTTTTTTTCTGCGTCATGAACTATTTTGTATTTGACGAACGTTACCGGGATTTTCCAAAAGTCGGCGTGGTCTCCATTCGGCTCTGCCTGCTAACAATGCTATTTGGGTGCCTTACTGAAGATTCCAGGTCAACATTAGTCAATATTTTCTTACAGAAATATCAAACTGTATCATCATAACTGTATGATATTTTGAAGCAAGTGATCTTTTAAAAAATTTGATCGGAACTATATTCAAAAGCTATGTGATAAAGCGAATTCGGAAGCGAAACCGAGCTTTGAAAAAGGGCCGTCAATGTCGTCATACATATTTTTAGCCACGGCGACTGCCTGACCTTCGCCCGTTCCACCCCCCCCCCCCGCCCTGCAAACAGTACGCTGGGATACTCTGATGAATTCACGCTCTGATTGGTTAGATTTTGCGCGAACTGTGACCTGCGCGTCATCACGGTCATGACTCTGCAAGGTTTGAAACGGCCGTTAAGACTGATTTATTTAATCTTTTATTCCAGTTTAGAGATTTCGTTTTTGTTGAAAAGCGTAATAATGTAGGAAATTCTGTAAAACTTATCTGTGTTGTAGATTTACAATTCCCATCACTTGCTCAGGCTCCGTTTCGAATCACGAACGGTCGGATTGCAGTATGCAACGCTCAAAATTTTGTCCACATGGTCCGCAATGAAACAGAAATAACATCCGGTATGGAATGTGCGCATGGGGGAAGTTTTTGGATAGCATTTGCGCACATTGTCTTACTGCGGTCTTGAACAACTGCAGCCAGATGCGTTATACATATAGGTCATAGGCCACTTCCTTCACAAGATTCTGTGAAGCTCATCAGCGTATTCCAGCGTCATGTTTGCAGGGCGGGGGGTACGGGCGAATGCCTGACCTACAATTTAGACGTGAGGGTCGGGAATAATTGTCAGGTCTGGGAACCAGACAAGAATGGAACCGGAAGCATAATTTTATTCCTAGGAGGGTTAGGGGCAATGTCATGAATAATTCATGTTTATCCATGAGAACGGACAATGACATCAACAGCATTATTGTTAGTTACTCAACTAGTTACAATACATTAAAGCATTTTAAAGAACGGTTGTCGTCAAGCTACCACACAGTAGCCTAGTGGATAGCGAGATGAGCTATGGAAACAAAGATCCCTGGTTCGAATCCACGTCGTCGATGCTCATTTTCATCAGCTATTTTTCTTCTCCAAATTTATCAGTGAGATAATTTTAAATTAAAGGGAAAATAGAACGAGAACCTTAGTCTGGCAATGATTCAAAAGAAAATCTGAATTATTCATGACATTGCCCCTAAGGCCAAAAAAAAAAAAAAAGTCGGTCTCTGGTCAGCGCGCGCGTCGATTTTAAGCATGCGCGTCGATTTTTTTTTTCCAAAATGTTCCGCGGTAACTCCAACAGCGCCCTCTATTTCCGCACCTCCTCAATTTGTTTTACCAAAGAGCACCAAGGAATGGGAAATTGCACCAAGGCAAATGATCGAAAGCACCAAGGCAAATTATGGAGGCCATCAATGTACACGAGGACACCAACAAAGCAAAATAGTACCCACCTTGTCTGTACAATCCAAGCTGAAGAAACAAAAAAAAAGGAAAAAAAAAAAAAAGCCGCGTGGCCGCGTCAATTCCGGAACGTTGGTCTGACCAGAGACCGAATTTTTTTTTTTTTTGCCTAACTCTCCTAGGAAAAAAAATTACGCGAACCGGAAGCTAACGCAGATTGGGTGTTTATCACAGTGAACCTCAATAAACCTCACGGTGACAAGTGATTCCAAGACGTTAATCAATTAGTTTATTCCTTTAGCACACTTCAATTATAATGTCAATGCGTCACCATTCAATAATTTATACAATGATAAACCTCACCGTTATGATAAATTTAGGTAAACCTCGCTGCTAGAATAAACACTGATAAACCTCGCTTTGATAACGAGCACTAGTAAACATCGCTCTTAGAATAATCACTAGTAAACCTCGCTGTAATAATAAACACTAGTAAACCTCGCTATGGTAATGAGCACTAGTAAACCTTGCTGTGATAATTAGCACTAGTGAGCCTCACTGTGGCTGAGGGGTCAATTAACTGCACCCCTGATAATTATCTTGTACAATTATAATCTTCGTACGGCTCTTTGGTCAACTGCACCCTTTATAATTAGCTTATTCAATTATGATCTTATGCCTCTGGGGTCAACTACACTCCCTTATGATTAACTTATACGAGTATAACTCACAGCTTCGGGGTAGCTCACTTCAGATAAACCTCGCTTGGGTATACCTCACTTATATCTTTCGGGGTTCCTAGTTTATCGAAATAATGGTCGTCTGCACCAATGACTTAAATAACGGGCTAGTGTTCTTTCACTTAGCACAAAATAACCCTACTGAGGTCTACAATAACAGAATAGATTTATAGTTTTATACAAAACAGTCCTTGCTACTTGCTCGACCAGCTAATTACACACACGGGGTAGTTAGTAACGTTAAATAACCCACCCAATGATAATAATACATTTGTAGTCCTCTGAACGTTCACCCAGTAAACCTTCGGAAACTCAGGCTTCGCAGACTTTACAGGACCGCTATCAACCGTATCTACGCCAAAGTTGCACAGGACAACTGCATGCAGTGGCGTAGCCAGGAATGTTTCAGTGGGGGCGCTGCAGCCACGCCCGGGCCAATTGGCATTGATCAACGGCAGACAGACCTTCCGAACAGTCTTAGCTACACTACTTCCAGCCTACGGACTCACAGGGCAGCTATACCGCCACTACGCCAAATGGCACAGACAACGGAAGACAATCCTTAAGTCTGAACTAAGTCTAACTGACTGTTTCCCCAACCTTCAGATTTACTCCGGATCCGACTATTATCCTAACTCAGGCCCTATCTTAAATAATCCCAACTTCTTAGCAACACTCCACCCCAAATCTTATTATTAGATAAGACCTTAAAATAAAAAGGGATGTAAACAAAACGTCCAGCTTTACTGACCGATCATACCAGGGCGCACGCTGGGTTTCTCTCCCGCTCCGGTAAACGGTATCTCAGTAAACACTGGCAGCTCACGAGCGAATTCTTCGCTAAACTCGTCGGAATCTCACGAAGGAGCTTGCTCATTGAAGTCTCTCCCAGGAGTGCCGAACCCACGCCAAGCCACGAGGCAATCGCCCCAGATCACGCCGAATGCACGCTGCTGATTGGTTGTCCCACAATATCTAGCGCTATAAACACGCGGGCTGACGTAATGGTTCTGAGGCTAGACTTGATATCAGTCTACATATACCCCTGTTTCGTTACACTATTAATTATACATGTATTTGTTTTTAAATCAGATCCGTTTGTTAAACATGTTAACTCGTGCATACAAATTGCATAAACAATATTTTTATCGTACTTTTATTAGGAATAGTTTTAATATATTTCCTACTGCTTTTTTGTTGTTGCACTTCGCAAACAAAATTCCAGTTATTCAGGGCCTTTATATGCAAAAAGATTCTTTGAGAATTAATTTGATCATTCAGCTGACGCAATCTTTAATTGCAATTCGCCGCCACTCAAGTTACGCCTGGGCATATGCCAGACCGAGACATTTAACTATAAGGTTTTCAAAATATTGGCGATAGAATTTGGATATAAAATATCCATATTCGAGAAAACAATGTTTTTTGGTAAGAAAGCTTTGATACCTCGGCATTTTGTCCCTGCACGTTTCTCTGTTCAGAGAGACAATTCTCTGCACAGTGAATGGCGCGTGCGTACGAGCTTCCGATCTAGTTATTTATTCTTCTGATATCTATGGGTCTCACAAGTCGCCGTTTTTGGAAGTTGGGGAAGAAAACAGCATGGCGTCTTTGGAGTAGTCCTGTCGGGGAAGCTCACCAACAGAGTTAGCCCAACTGATTGAAGGAGATGCCTATAATCACCACAACTATGCCTAACTGATGGAGTCTTAATTATACTTGAGTTTTAATCATATTGAAACATAAATAGGGATAAAATACTGATAACCTGTAACCTGTGTTTCAGAGTGTTTGTGCATCAGGACAGTAGTCTTGTTAAGAGACCCCGACAAACCCCGTGATTAATCCCACGAATCAAATACTACAGTAATATAAATCAACAGAGGGCGAAACTCGATACATGTGTAAGGGGTGTTCTTAAAGGGACACTAGGTCTTGGAACAGCCCCATCGAGCTACAAAACTCACTTACATTCTCTGCCGCAGAACAACTCATGCATGCCTTCATATCATCCAGATTAGATTTTTGCAATAGCCTACTTGTAGGTCTTTGTCTTCCACAACATACGTTGTGGAAGATAACACGTCTTCAACTTGTCCAGAACTGTACCGCTCGCACACTCACAAGAACGAAATCATCTTCCCACATAACACCCATCTTGCGCAAACTTCATTGGCTACCAATCCAGTACCGCATCCATTACAAAATTCTCCTTCTTACTTTCAAAGCTCTTCATGGCTTAGCCCCACGGTATCTGAAGGAAATGGTTAAACATCGTCAACTGAAACCAGGTCTGAGGTCGTCATTCAATATACTGTTTGTCCCGAAGACTCGTTTGGCGACCTACGGAGACCGTGCATTTTCCAGCTCTGCACCGCGTCTCTGGAACTCGTTACCAGACGAGTTAAGGGCAATACACCAATTATCTCTCTTCACACGCCAACTAAAGATCAACCTCTTCAATCAGTTTCTCTCTCACACATAATGACCTCTACCTTCACACACACACACACACACACACACACACACACACAGACTTACGTTACATACCTTGGGTGGACATTGCTTTGTTTTCGTGTAGTTAAGAAAACTCGGTACAAAAAATAACTTTACTTAAACTGTGAAAACTTTTTTAACCCAATAGTGTTTCTCTTCATTCTGCTACAGATAAACCTAACCCAAAAATGCCTCTAAACCTGTTTTCCAGAAAGGGCAAAACCTTATGTGGACACGGCTTAGTCCACATAAGGTTAACACAACCTGCATTATGTGGACCTCTTTTGTTCACAAGTCCACATAGGGTATGTAACACAAACTCACACACACTGACTTTTCATTGACCGGCGCCTTGGAATGACTATTATTGTCAGATACTGTGCCGCCTTACAAATGCTTTGTTATTATCATTATTATAACGCTTTGAACGAGATGATGATAATCGGAAATAACATTTAAAAGTAGGATATAAACATCCACACAACTATCCTTTCAAAACTGGGTGTTTTTGTGTTATTCCTGTATTATGCATGCGAGAACGAATTTCGGGGTCCACTTTGCGACCCCATAAATTCGAGCTGTTTGGATGCTAGTTGTGATTTCATTCGTACGCGTGAAGTGTTCGCCTTTTGCGGACGTTGAAGAAACCACAATTTTTTACATTGGTGATTGGTCACCGCGTGCAGCAGTTCCCGAGACACACAACCTGTATAGCGTACACTGAGAACGACACGAACAACGTATTCGTACTCCGTCGTGTCCGATGTAAACAAGCAGGGTTTTTTCGTCTTTACTCGGGAATGGTAAGACATTAGGTTGGTTTCCTTTCAACCAGATGTTTGAAATAGGCTAAGTACACAATACAAAACATAAAATTTTAGGGGAGTTCAGGACCTAGTGCCCCTTTAAGAGGAACATGAAATAAAATTTTGATTGCATGATGTTCCTAACAATATTTTGTGTATGGCGGTGTTTATTTTCTGGGATAAATGGGGGAAAATAATTTTGTGAACATGTTTGGTCAAACTACTCCGCCCCACAAAGGGAAGCTTCATTAACATAAAACTTCGCGAGGGGTATGACGCAAATCAAGGGAGAGACTTGCCGCGCTGCGGGGGGCACCGGCATTGCGGCGTGCATCATAATACATAATTCCATGTCCCTAGTTCCTAATTCGTTCCTAGTTGTATAAATCTCTCTCCGCCGGACAGCAAATGGTGGCACCCTTCATTTTGCAAATGTACTATGTAAAAGTTTGCTGACCTCAGGCTCCTCACCGCCTGCACAATCTTTCTCAGGTGAGCACGTCAAATTTTGATTGTATTTTTTAACCGAGATTTTCCATATGACACAGTGACGTTATACATTTATTTTTTCCAGTTTAACCGCTTATGTTTATAGATCAAGGATATTGTTCATTTTATGTATAGTTTATTGTTAAAAAGTGTGATTTTATAGTTTGAAACTTGTCTCACGTCAAAAGTTTGGTCGTAAAGTTGTCGTGTGCAACGCATGTGCAGTGCGTTTTTACGTGGAGTAGGGTAATGTGTCGTTAGCGCACCAAAGTGTGGAAGCTACGGAAGCGTATTGAGGACATGACCGAAGAAAAAATTCTGGCCCACTATTTCGCCCGGGCGGATTACTATTTCGCCCGGGCGGATTACTATTTTGCCCAGGCGCATTACTATTCCGCCCGGGCAAAATAGTACTTTGCAAGGGCGAAAAAGTAATCCGCCCGGGCGAAATAGTAATTCGCCCGGGCGAAATAGTAATCTGCCCGGGCAAAATAGTAATCTGCCCGGGCGAAATAGTAATCCACCCGGGCTAAATAGTAATCCGCCCGGGCAAATTATTGGGCCAGAGTTTTGTTTTTGGTCATGTCCTCAATACGCTTCCGCAGTAAACAGTGTTTGGGTGTAGAATAATATTTAATCACAATGTATTACATTGGTGGTTGTGGCGGGTTGCATGGATGTCGCTAGCGATGATGGACTTTGGGGCAATGTGTGTGTATTTTCTGTGTATGATGAATGAGCGATGCTCCATGCTGGGCCCAGCGATGCGTGTTTGTGTCCCATATCCGTTTTGCCTACCGTTTCTATGGCATCCTTGCGACCTGCGCAATCTGGTTTAAAGATTTAAGAGAAGAGATTCCAGAGGATTGATGGTTTAATTGATGGATTGAATTTATTGGAAGGAATATTTATCGCTGCAGGAAGACAAGTTTAGTTGAGACAAATTACGACAAAGGGAATTAGAGTATATTGGAGACAGCTTTTCTTTTAGTCAATTTTGTTTTCATTAATATGCATTAGAAATGTACGGAGTCACTTTTAATTTATTTATATTCAACTGTCAGTGATAATTGCATCAAAATTTGTCTAATTAATAATTTTCTGTATTTTTGACCGCCTGCACAATATTTCTCAGACTTTTGCATGTCCAGGTCCATGTGCAGCTCCACAATAAAACCAGCCCCGGCTGGAGAGAAATCCTAGAAAGAATCTGCAGTGCCTACCTTTAACCCAGTTCATCTCTTCTCCCCCGCTCGGCCCCCCTTACACATGTATCAAACAAAATAACTTCTTTTTTTAGATTTTGAGGTGGATATCCTGACTTGCTGACTTAAACAAAAAGTAAAGGTAGTCATGTAGCCATCATTGCTGAATAATTAAAAATAATACAATCTTGTACCTCACCTTCTGGAGATGTTAAGTCGCACGTTACTCCAGCGTCACTATAATGATTGCAGCCGGAGGTAACATACCATCCACTGTGATGGCACAGGTCAATACTTGATTCATTGCCACGACATGCAACATTGCTCAGGACAATTAAGCCTGATCCTCGGCCAAAGTGAGCACTGTGCCAGGCCTGGGATGCAGAAGGGTAGCCGAGCTGTCGGCAGATGACATTGGCATCTCTGATGGACCAGCCATTATGACAGATTGTACCCCAGTGGCATTTGTAGTACACTTCAACTCGACCTTCATTAGGGGTATCCCCATTCACAAGACGTATTGAAACTAGAAAGAGAGAGACAGTTAAATTGAAGAGTTAAGATACCCATGATAAATGGTTGCTTCTTTTTTTGTCGAATATTACGTCAGGAAGGCCAATATATTCTGTTCTGTAAATGGAGACATGCATCTGCATTGCTGACGAAGCCTGATGCTCACGTAAAGACGATATTAGACTTGGTGCCAAGTCAGCTATTGTTCACGTACGGACGGTACCAGTTACTGGTTCCACGCACGCAAAATATCACTGTAATGCGCGAAGCCTGGTTCCCAGACCAAATGATGCTGACTTTTGATGTTCAATAACCGACTTGGCGAGAACATTTTCTATTTTCTACACAACCCATGGGAGTATTTTAAATCGCTAGCGAATTCTATGCGAGCACTCTGATTGGTTCAGATTCCAGCGTGTATTCTAGGCCACTACGAGGGTCTGTGCTTTGTGTTGTGAAATCCAAAATTCGTTATAGGGGATACACGACTCATATAAATCAAGTATATCACAATGATAAATTTTATTTCTTTACACAATTGACCAAGCTGAGTGATTCGGCCGTTAAAACGTCGCCCCATCTGCAAACATGTCCCATCGTATTGAGAAGAACTCCCCATGTAACGGAATGAACGAGTCCTCATTTGCATTGCGGTGCGCCATTGGATCTCACCGCAATAATGCACTGCATATGTATTGCGCTTCACGCATATATGAATAACGGTGGAGAACGTAACCTTCAAGTCGTTAGATATGTTGCAACCCGGCCGATTAGTACTAGTCTCATACCAACCGCGCCGTTCGAGTTCGACTGAAGTTCACGGACAAAATACGACTATCTGACGACTTGTATCAAGTCTAAGACGATAATGGATTTTATCTAAACTCAGAATAAAATTAGAGCTATGTCTGTTCGATGAACAGAACATAGGGCTTTTCCGTATTTTTTGTTGGGTGGGGGAGTTTTGTCCATATGCAAGAAGATACCGTAGTTGCAGGACTAAATTCTTCACATGATAGGACTTTAAAATGTACACTTTTTAACATGACGTCACATGTCCCGCGATGACGTCATCGTAACAACACTTGTCAATGCACATGTTTTCATTGTGGTCTTGATGTGCAACACGTTTGACGTAAATCCCGTGAAAAAAGGTGTAAAATTTTGTAAGCGGAATAAAATCTTAAATATTAAAATAAAATCATAAAAATATCAACTGATAACGTCATGGTGACGTCATTTCAAATTGTGCATACTTGTGACATTGTTTACCTATCCACAAAGTTTCATGGCGATGGGAACTTCTGTTATATGTGTTTTTGAAATTCGCGTTTTTGATGACGTCATCGTGACGTCACAAATTTAAAAAAAATTGTGTATATACCTGTTACCTAACAAACCGTATACAAAAGGAATTTTCAATTTTGCATGTTGCGTTCGTGAGATACAGCTTCAAAGTCCAAAAATTCAAAAATTCATATAAAATCGCACGATAACGTCATCATGGCGTCACCTCATTTTTTATCTATAACAAATGCTGGTCTACCGACATACCGAGTTTCAACCCAATCGGACTTACTGTTCTGTAGATATAGGACTTCAAAATATGCACATTTGTGATGACGTCACATGTCCCATGATGACGTCATCGTAACAATACCGGTCAGTGCACATATTTTTTATTGTTGTCTTGATGTGCACCAAGTTTGACATTAATCTAATGAAACAAAGTGTAAAATTGTGTAAGTGTAATACAATTTTAAATATTTAAAAATCATAAAAAAATCAACCGATGACGTCATGGTGACGTCATTTCAGATTTTGCATACTTGTGACACCATCTACCTATCCACCAAGTTTCATGACGATGGGGCCGTTCCTTATATTTGTTTTCAAAAATTGGCATTTTTGATGACGGCATCGTGACGTCACACTTTTTTCTAAAACTTACCTGAGGTAAGTTTCATTGGAATAGGACTTTGTTTCAGGTCAAAAGTGGGTCACACCAAAAACGTGTACAAAGTCAATGGGATTTGGGGTGGACCCAAAAAGATCAATAAGAAGGGAAAAAATCAGAACAAAAACAAAGGCTTTTCCGCTGTTCAGCGGAAAATCCATTAAGTCGCGCGCAAACGGGTGTACACACAGGGGGTACGTGTCCCTTTCAATGAGCTCTAAAGTTGGTGCATGGAACCCATGCGACATGGATTATGTTTTAATGGCCAATTCACCAAACCTGACAACGTAGTCATGTCAGCCCTTGGCAAGTTCTTAAAGTAGTCACACAAATGTACATGTGTTTGTCCCTTATTTCTAGGCTGAAATGCACTGAGAAATGACAAACATAAATTTTGTAGTGACATATTTGGGTGCATTATTGTCCACGTGATTCAACGACTGCAGCCATATGTTGGATTTACCAAAAGAGGGCACTAACAGTTCCGGTCTCCCACACAAAAAAAACCGCAACTTTGTTGTCAAACATACTTCAATGTAAATTTAATCTGGATTATAGAAGACCCTGTTAATTGTTTTCAGCAGCATGGTATTTCATTGGGATTTATGGTTACTTGAAAACGTGGATTATTTTGCATTTGTCAGGTTTGAGGCAGTATTGTGTATCAACAGCAAGATTATCTTGAAAGCTACTTTGAAGTTACCTTTCTTTGTTGGTAAGTATACAACCGCGGATTGTGTGATGAGTTCATTTAAGTAAGAATTGTTCATTATGGTAGAATAAGGTGCACATAGTTTAATAAATAAATCAACTCAGGTATACCTGGTGAAGAGGTATTGACAATGAGCTGCTCCCCACAAGTCACTCCGGCATCTTCTGCATGACTGCAGCTGTGATTGAACCACCCACTGTGTTCACATAGGTCTATGTTTGATTCAGTGCCATTGCAAGCAACATTGCTGAGGAGAATCGGTCCTGATCCTTGGCCAAAGTGAGCACCACTCCAGGCATGTGATGAAGGAGGGTAGCCGAGTTGCCGACAGATGACGTTGGCATCTTCAATGCTCCAGCCATCATGACAGACTGTACCCCACTGACCATCGTGGTATATTTCTAAACGACCCTCATACGGGAAGCTGCCATTGGTGAGTCGAACTGGAACTGAAATTCAAACACGTATAGGTTGATCATCAATCAGGTTTTGCCCTTCACCCGCGTATAAACACTGTGTACTCAGTGTGTTACCTCCCGAGTGATAGTTGGGGAAAAATACCCACGTGGGACTAGAACCCACGACCTCCTGCTTTCTACTGCAGACGTCTCACCACTAGACCACCGAGCTTGAGGGATAGGTTGGCAAAACCAAATATTTATTTACATCACCCCGACGCAAAACTCTATCTTATGAATACTTATAGGTTGAGTTGACATTGAGGTTTAAAAACAAACACGCACTATACACAAATCCTGTAAAAACACAGTTTTCCCCCATATACTTTTTATGACGTTTTACCTTTAGTCCTCTCACCGTCCCAAGAAAGTACTTGCTACAGGTTTTTCACTAAAATGTGGTAGCCTGACGCATTTTTTTAAAAAACCAACGGTTTTTTTTAAATGCGTGCATGCAAGGTTCGCTTATTATAAGTGCGTAATTCAAAGCCGATGATTGTGCTATCACAACCGCAATGCTTCAATATTGCTGGTTTTGGAGAGTCATGCGTCTACTCATGCGGTGTTGACAAGCAATAGGTCGACGCAGCGTCAGCGTTATTTAAAGAAATCCGTAACTGACCGACATTTTACTTTATTTTGTTGGCAACCTGTTTTACAGTAAATTTACCGAAAAGACGGACAAGTTTTCCGAGTCAATCTGGATTCTTTTGTTAAAGGCGATCAACCTACCAAGATTAGGAGAGGTCTCGTTACATTTTACTCCAATATCATAGCGGTGATACGAACAATCGTGATTGTACCATCCAGTATGATCGCATCGGTCAATGCTTGATTCACTGCCACGACAAACAACATTGTTCAGGAGAATCGGCCCTGATCCTTGACCAAAGTGAGTATTCCACCAGGCCTGATTTGCAGAGATGTAGCCGAGCTGTCGACAGATGACATTTGCCTCTTCAATGCCCCAGTGACTAGTGCTACAGATAGTACCCCATTCGCATCGGTAGAATACTTCCACTCTCCCTTCATGCGGCGTGTTGCCATCAGCAAGACGGACAACCACTGCAACGAATCACAGTATTGCAATGAAACACGACATTTTGAATTAAAATAGACCAACCCTAACCCTCATCCCAACACTGGCCCTTACCCTAATCCTAAGGATTTTAAGGAACATAAGTATTGGGGAACATCGGGTAGACCCCTTGACATGCACATCAGACCAAAAGCCTAAACTCGGGTTTTGTTGTCTACATATAGTTTTCCTGCTCTCTCTAGTCATCTCCGTTCAGGTTGGATCTTTGACATCCTGGTCTTGGCTCGATCAATATCGATCCCTACGTGTGGACCATGCAGACGACAATACAATGGTTTGGAGCTGAAGAGCGGCATCGATGACAGGTCCCTCTTGAGGAGTATGAGCTCTGGCGTAAGCACGACTCGCTCAGGTCATGGCATTTAGTAATCTGATTAAACATTAATAAAAGTAGCTCAGAGCCTGTAAATGAGCATTACGTCAACCTGTAGTGCCCGCGTAAATCATAAACTTACTTCTAGAATGACAAGCCAGCAAGAACATTCATTCGCAAAGTGTGATCGTAGCATTCCGAAGATTCTTTTTTTTCTAAATTGCACCATCCAGCTCTCACCCGATAATGCATTGGCGAAGCCAGCGTGGTGAGGGGAGGGGTGATGGGGTATTTAACCCTCCTCCCATCAATATTTGCTAAAGACCGCCCTTTTGTATACCAGTGCCCTTTACACCACCGCATCCCCCCCCCCCATATTTCCAAAGAGTGCCTTTTTTGTCATCAAGTGCCATTCTTTTTGTTCACTGTGCACTTTTTAAAACAGCGGCCTTTTAGGAGTACCCTTTTTGGAATTTTTCGCAAACTTCAGCAATGTTGCCACCCTGAACAGCGCCACCTATTGTCCGATAATGTCCCTGATCGTCCGGTTTGAACAGCGCCCCATTGGAAGATGGTACCAGCCCCCAGGAGGAAAAACCCAGTGTACATTTCAGCACGGATGTGCGAGTACCCTTTTCACGAACTGGTTACCCCTCCCCCAATCCCTCCCCCTCCCCCCCCCCCAAAAAAAGCCACTGTCATGGATTGGTACTGCGTACGTTATTATTGCCAGCATTCATTATGTATTGGCAAATAATCGGTCCAGTACTGGTTTGAATGTGTCTGAAAATATAATACACGTCGGATTTTTTTCACTCACACGGCACGATTTTCGATTTTCGAAGTATTCGATTTTTTATCTGAATTTTTTTTCCCCAGTTGATGTAGCTGTCCGTTATACTACAGCTATTCCTTGGGTATGTGTACCAGGTTGGTAGGTCTGTGTACATGCACATTTGGATTATGCGATTTCATTAAATTTGTAATCTAGTATGTTCTGGATGATCTGGACTACCCAATATATAATGGCCCTTACCTAAAACGTGACACCTTGACCTTGTTGAATTAAAATTTATTTAAAGTTGCTATACCGTTTGAAGTTATACCTGTGTGAATTGCATTAACTTATTGAACACATCAACTTTACCCGAAGAGGGGGTTGTTACATCACACGTCACTCCGACATCATAGTAATGGCTGCAGCTTGACATCAACCATCCCCTATAGTCACACTGGTCAATGCGCGATTCATGTCCATCACATGCAACATTTGAGAGGAGAACCGGCCCAGACCCTTGCCCAAAGTGAGCATTCTGCCAGGCCTGAGATGCAGAAGGGTAGCCGAGTTGTCTACAGACGACATTGGCTTCTTCAGTTCTCCAGTTGGAACCACAGACGCTCCCCCATTGGCCTTTGTACTGCACCTCAACTGCACCTTCATTGGGCGCGTTCCCATTGATCAGACGCACAGTGACTGTAATAGAAAATGACACAAATATGACCAAAAATATACCTTTGAGAGGTTACCAATAACACCAAATATTATTTTTTTTAACAAAAAAAAATTAAAATTGTCAACAGTAACATCATTCTCAGTGGCCTTATATTTGTTGCATCTAGTCCGGACAAACACATTTAACAGCTTCCCCTGAGTGGGTCTGTGATCGGTCTGACTGGGACTGGGCTAATTACGCACAATAAACCAATTGCCTTATTGCCGTATTCGGAAGTGCGAGTACTCGTACTCGTACTCGTACTCAGAAGTACAAATACTCGTACTCGTACTCGGAGGTACAAGTACTTGTACTCGGAGACCCTTTTTGTACTCGGAGGTACAAGTACTCGTACTCGTACTCGGCAACCTAATTACTCGGCAGTACTCGGTACTCGAAAAAAGTATTCGACTACAACACTGCCAAATTTGAAAGGAAAAGAGCATTTTTGAGAAGGTGTGGACGTTATAATTACAATGATCGTGAAAACACGTAATGCACGTTGGAAAAACAACACCAAATACACGATTTTACATCCATTACAAGCAAATTGCTGTACCAAATCAAGATACAACAGAAAAAAAAGTTTCCTATCCAGGGCTTACTATTAGAAACGAGGTTTGAAATAAAGTAAGCACTGGGACGAGGTTGGATCGGGCGGCCATTTTGGAGGGAAAAATACTAAGGGCCTCCCGCTCCCTTTTTTTCAAAAAGGCTGGACGCTAAACATGTTTTTTTATTTTTTTATTTGGCCTTATTAGGTTGAGTTTGCGTCGAGGAGATGAACTTTTATTGAGTTTTCCTCGTTTGTAATGTAGGGGAATGGCTCTAAGGATATTGTTGGTTTTGTAATTCACGAGAGGGGGCTATTTATTACAACATGATCCTGTGGGGCGATGATCTAAATATAGCACAATGTATCTGGGGGCTAGAAAGCTCGTGACCTTGGGTTTTAAGCAAACATACATTACTCATGGAACAGCAAACACTGATAATTAAAGATTAACATTTGAAATAACTTTAATGAAATGCCATATCCTGTACCATCACGCATTCATCACCAGTATACAAAGCTTAACCGATAGAACACAAGACCCCGGATGTCATGACCTGAATTGTAAACAGGACAGAGGTCATGACATCCAAGCCAACAGTGTGGGGGCGCTGTTCCATTGTTATTACTGTTTTAAGCAAACATACATTACTCATGGAACAGCAAACACTGAACATTAAAGATTAACATTTGAAATAACTGTAATGAAATGCCATAATTAGAGGATTACCAACCTTTCTTAATCATATTACATTTCTGTTTGTCTATTTGCAGACCGTGTTCATTGTTGAAGTGACCAAAACAAAGAGACAGCGTTCTTATTTATGAACACGGAAGCCCTAAGACACAACAATGCCTGTTGTATCATGCCCCATCCCCGGCTGTGACTACGCCACTCAGGATTTCGATGCCGCTATCGTAGCTGCACTCCTCACTGCCCACAGCGCTGTACACACCTCTGGACATGCTGCCAAGGTTGAGAAGGTCAAAAGGCCAACGATTGCCGCTGCTGGCTCCAGTGAAGAGTGGGCTTATTTCAAGTCACGGTGGTCAGATTACGTCGATGCCACCAAGATAGCCGGCAAGGACAAAGTAGTACAACTACTTGAATGCTGTGATGAACCCTTGCGCAAGGACCTCACAAGATCCGCGGGTGGTAGCCTCACCAACAAATCTGAAACTGAGGTACTGGCTGCCATAAAAAAACTTGCTGTGCGTGAAGAGAACACTATGGTTGCCAGAGTGACACTTCACAATATGCGTCAGGATCGTGATGAAACAGTGCGCAGCTTCGGAGCTCGCCTACGTGGTCAAGCAGGAATTTGCAAGTTCCTAATAAAATGCCCTGGCTGTGACATTGACGTTAACTACACAGAAGCAATCCTACGGGATGTACTCACCCGAGGCATCGCAGACCCTGAAATCCAGCTTGATCTCCTTGGCGATAAGAACCAAGACATGACCCTGGAGGAAGTCTTCCAATTCATTGAAGCTAAAGAGGCAGGCAAACGGTCTGCATCATCACTACTAGACTCACACTCAGTGGATGCGACCAGCAGCACGTACAAAAAAGCCAAGCAAGTGAACCTCAAGGAGAAACATGACCCATGCTCCTACTGTGGCAAGAAAGGACATGGGAAGAACGCCCCGGCCCGCGCTCGTAAAACCGAATGTGCAGCATATGGCCACAGGTGTGGGCATTGTGATAAACACCACCACATGGAGAGTGTGTGCCGCAGTAAGGCCAAACCAAAACATTCGACACCCGCCCCTCCTGATGACCGTGAAGGTGCTGTCTTTGATGCCTTATGTACCATCTCTGATCCAGTACAACACCCCAATGGGTGTGCATTTGACGAGTTAGTTACTGTCAATAACTTGGAAAAACCACACCAAGGACTGAACATTCCCCTAGACCATCACATATATGACAACCTCTCCAACACGTGGCTCAGGAAAAGATCAACGCCACAACCTTTCATCGATGTAACCATCAACATTGTACCGGAAGACTACGCAGCCCTCGGTTTTGACCTTCCCACTCCCACCATGACTTGCTCTGTCCCCGCCATGGCAGACACAGGGTGCCAGAGTTGCCTCGCCGGTATGAAGGTCATTCACCGCCTCGGTCTACGTAAATCTGACCTCCTCCCAGTGACCATGAGGATGCACACCGCCACCAATGGAGGCATCAAGATCCTTGGGGCCACTGTACTCCGCTTGTCAGGCAAAGATGGACGGGGCCGGGTCATTGAAACCAGGCAAATGACTTACGTCACGGACAGTTCTGACAAGCTCTTCCTCAGCAAAGAGGCCTGCATCGCCCTTGGAATCATTCCGGATGGCTTCCCCTCGATGGGCGTAACTCAGAAAGCATGCAAGCTGGACACGACAGCAGCCCTACAGGAAGACCACACCTCAGATTGCCATTGCCCTCGGCGTCAGCGACCCCCACCACCCCCAACGAAACTGCCGTTTCCTGCAATCGACGCTAACCGTATGAAGCTACAACAGTATCTCCTTGACTACTACAAGTCGAGCACATTCAACACATGTGAGCATCAGACTTTGCCTCTTATGGACAGCCCCCCCATGACACTGATGGTAGATCCCAACGCCGAACCGGTTGCGCATCACACACCGGTACCCGTCCCACTCCACTGGCAGGATGCCGTTAAAGTTGGGTTAGACCATGACGTGCAGTTGGGCGTGCTTGAGCCAGTTCCCATCGGCGAGCCTGTCACCTGGTGCCACAGAATGGTAGTTTGTGCAAAGAAGAATGGCAAACCACGACGTACTGTCGACTTCCAGGCTCTTAATGCTCATGCCACGCGGGAAACGCACCACACGCCATCACCCTTTCACCAGGCTAGATCAGTCCCAAGCGGGAAAAAGAAAACCGTCTTCGATGCATGGAACGGTTACCACAGTGTTCCCATCCGCAAGGAGGACCGACACTTGACGACATTCATAACACCCTGGGGTAGATACCGTTACAAAACGGCCCCTCAAGGGTACATTGCCTCCGGCGATGGATACACGAGGCGGTATGACGAGTTTGTGTCAGACATCCCAAACAAAACCAAGTGTGTAGATGATGTCCTGCTTTGGGCTGACTCGCTAGCAGACTGCTTCTTTCAAGCTGTTCAGTGGCTCGACACCTGTGGACGGAATGGGATCACCCTTAACCCTGACAAGTTTGTGTTTGGTGAAGACACTGTAGAATTCGCCGGGTTTGAGATAACTCCTGACAGCGTCCGGCCTTGTAGGAAGTACCTACAGGCCATCCTGGATTTCCCAACACCCAAGGACATCACTGATGTACGTTCCTGGTTTGGGCTTGTCAACCAAGTTTCGTACGCCTTCAGCATGGCTGAGAAGATGCTGCCATTCCGGCAACTTTTGAAACCTAGCTCATCATTCAAGTGGGATGAGAACCTCCAAAATGCATTTGAGGAATCGAAAGCTGTGATAGCCAGCGAGATCGAAGAGGGCGTCCAAATCTTTGACCCGAGCAAGCCTACGTGTTTGGCAACAGATTGGTCCAAGAATGGCATTGGCTTCTGGCTACTACAGAAACACTGTTCCTGCACAAAAATGGAACCATTCTGTTGTCACTGGGGATGGAAAATCACGCTCGTCGGTAGCAGATTCACACACCCTGCTGAATCACGCTATGCCCCAGTGGAGGGTGAAGCCCTTGCAGTCGCTGATGCCCTAGATAAAGCCAGACACTTCGTACTGGGATGCGAAGACCTTATAATTGCTGTTGATCACAAGCCCCTCTTGAAGATCTTCACTGACCGATGCCTGGAAGACATCCCTAACCCTCGCCTAAGGAACTTGAAAGAGAAAACCCTGCGATACCGATTTCGCATGATCCATGTGCCAGGCATTAGACATCGTGCCACAGACTGTATCTCGCGTCACCCTACTGGCGAGCCTGTCAAACTGATCCTCCCTGACGATGTAGCGTCCATTGATTCCGCACCCGTCATCTTGGCACATTCTAAACGTCTCATGGCTGGCCTGCGCACCCCAGCAACACATACAGACACCATCGAAGAATGCATCTTCTCATCTGCTGTGTCCTCCCTAGACTCACTCAGCCTCAAATCTGTTACGTGGGACAGGGTTCGTACCGCTACAGCCAGTGACGACAACATGCAGGGCCTTGTTGACCTCATCGAATCTGGCATACCTGAATTCCGCCATGAGCTCCCTAGACCCCTTCGCGAGTACTTCCAGTTTCGGGATAGCCTACATACCGTTGACGGCGTGATACTCTACAAGGACCGTGTCGTTATACCCCTCTCTCTGAGGGAGGAGGTGTTAGCCAATCTACATGCTGCCCATCAAGGGGTTACCTCTATGACCACAAGAGCCGAGGCATCTATTTTCTGGCCTGGTATCACCCCTGCCATTGCAGCCCTTCGCGCTGGGTGCAACCATTGTAATCGGATTGCACCCTCTAATCCGAGCGCACCACCCACCCCCCTGACGCCCCCGGACTACCCATTCCAGTGTGTTTGTGCCGACTTCTTTACCTACAAAGGCTGCAACTACTTGGTAGTGGTCGACCGTTATTCCAACTGGCCGATTGTCGAGAAGCCCTCCCATGGCGCAGCTGGGCTCATCAATTGCCTACGACGCACCTTTGTCACCTTTGGTATTCCTGATGAGCTGGCCTCTGACGGTGGTCCTGAATTCACGGCTATAGCTACACGTCACTTCTTGAAGGACTGGGGTGTACATCATCGCCTTTCCTCAGTAGCTTATCCACATAGCAACTGTCGTGCTGAAGTTGGTGTCAAGACCGTAAAACGTCTGATCATGGACAACACCAGCAGTAATGGTGACCTCGATACTGACGCATTCCAACGCGCAATGCTCCAGTATAGAAATACTCCCGACAGAGACACCAAACTCTCCCCGGCAATGTGCATATTTGGACGCCCGATTCGGGACTTCATCCCCATACCACCTGGCAAATACAGGCCCCATAACACTTGGCGTGAGACCTTGGCGGCTCGAGAAGAAGCTCTCCGCAATCGCCACATGACAGGTGCCGAGCGCTGGTCCGAACACACCAAAAGGCTCTTGCCCCTCGTCGTGGGTGACCACGTCCGCATCCAGAATCAGACAGGGCCACACCCCCTTAAATGGGACAAAACTGGCATCATAGTTGAAGTCCGCCAGTTTGACCAATACGTTGTGAGGGTTGATGGTTCAGGAAGAGTGACCCTGCGTAATAGGAAATTCCTGAGAAGGTACATTCCCGTACAAATACGCACACCACGATTGACAATGGATGATGACATCGGAGTGCGTCAGCCGACAGTTCGCCGGATCATCCCACGCCAAGGCATTGTGTACAAGACAAATCCGACCAGTCACGAGGAGGTTCATTGTCCACCAAAGCCGACTGCTAACCCAGTGCCCAAGTCGACACACTCCCCCACCGCAACTGGCGCCACTCCACAGCGACTCTCGTTGCCCTTGGCACATGCTACAGACCCTGGCACATCGCCCAGAATGACCCAGGACCCTCCGAGTCAAGAACGTCGGCCCCTTGTTGATGCTCCGCCCCCACCTATGGATGAGTCGTCACAAGCCAGCA